TAGAAATGTTATCTAAAACGGGTCGACCTTTATGTGTTTGTATATATTGGTACCGCTTTGCAGCGGTATACGCGTATTCAAGCATACTTTCCGCTGAGTAATTGAAATATAATATTTATTTTTTCACATAATTCGTCACGACATTAGTTTTTTATCTTTTTTATTCACATTTCACATTGTTTTTTTTATATTTATATAATAAATAAATCCCGTACAAAATTCAATACAATAACAGTCAAGTGTAGTTTTGTTAATAGGGATTGATAAGTTTCTCGCGTGGTCCACCTGTCAAATCGCTGTCGTCGACTTGTTCGACGGATTTGTACTGGGTGAAATTCCGAGTACTTCTTGTTGGGACTCGGTCGAACATCGGTCGGGCGTCGGGTTTGGGAAACTTTCATACACAAAACCGATCGGAATTATTTGGTTAGAATACCGCCACTGCTTAGAATTAAAAAAGTGGATCAACGAATAAAAAATCTTACATCATATCAAAATTGCAAAGCATTGGTTTATTGACTAAAATGTACTGGATGTTACAATTTAACGTATACGCCACAAATGGTAATTAAATACTAAATGACATGCCAAACTTCAGATAATTTTTTTTTCAAATTTATTCGAAAAATCAATTTACACTATTTCTCTCCTAAATATTTCATTGAATTTAGTACCAATTTCAATTAAAAGCCATGAGGTTAACCACGTTTAATAAAGACAACTCTGAATTAAATAGATTCTTGCTTAATTATTCCCTTTATGCACGTAAACTTTGGAAAAAAAAGTTTCAATTTTACAATCTTCTTTGAATTCAGATCCAAAAGTAGTCATTATTGATGAGGAAGGTTCCGCATTACAAGATAAATATTATGAGGTCGATTCAACGTTGCAATTATCGTGCATTGTTCGAAATGTGAAAATGATGTCGAGTGCGGTTTTTTGGAGTCATGGAGAGCGAATTCTAAACTATGATGTGGAAAGAGGCGGAATTAGGTAAGAAATTTGTTCCTTTTTTATTTATATTTTTCGTTTCTTTTTTTATCATTAAACGAGTTTGGACATAAGGAAGGAAACAAAGTGAAGTTATTTCAATCACAACAAGAAGCAACGAAAACGCCAAAGGGAATATAAAACGAAATGGCATTCATTCATGCGCAACTGGAGCGATTTTATCGTGTCGGAAACATCACGTCCAAATTTAATGCTCTGCAATTTGTTTACATTTTTGTGTGTATATGTGTATGTGCATTTTACATACTACTGTTAAAATGAATATACACTGTGAAATGACAACGAAAAAACTCAAAAAAACCTTTTTAATGTAATTATGTCGCATGTAATTAAATTAAAAAAATATACAAAGAAAACGACGTTTTGCAAACATTTATTTAAGTTGTCAAAGTCAATAGAAAATTTGTAATTTATGGAATTCGTTAAATAGCATGGAGGTGTCACGTTTACCAGATTCAGTTTGTGAGGCTTGTCACATTGTTTCAACTATAATGATCGTATTTGCCACTTGTTCTTCTTGTTTTCCTTTTCTTGGTGGAAATAAATGCGTTTGTCTTGCTATACAGCCGATTCAATACGTTTCGAATTTGCGATTCAGAATATAAAATGAATCGTGTATTATTCCCATTGCTCGGTACAAAGAATGTTATCATCTTAATGCCATTGTATCTTCACTTTGATTCTTATCATCGTTAATTGAATTCAATTGTTAGCTTAGATGAATGTGATTATTATGCGGTGCTTGTCAATTTGGCACTTCCATCAAATCACTTGATTTGCTACAAAAAACTTTGTTTTGTTTGTTCAAAAAAAGGCGAATTTATTTTAAAGGACAATCATTGAATCCGTAAGCACTTAAATTACACTGTTCGCCCAGGGTTTTTGCACCGTGCGTCAGTTACGAAAACACAAAATAGAATACAGAGCGAGATGCGAAGAAATACAAGTACGTATGTACCGTGTATACGCTTCATGCTTTGCGTCCATTAACGTCTTATTCTTTGCAGGCTGTGTGTTTTGTATGATTTCAGCAGGCACAGCTATTTATAGTGCGATAGCTATGCTCTGCCTAAGTTCAAGATATTTGACACATTGCATACTGCATTGAAATCGGTACCTGCTGCAGTACCAGTGTGTGTTCGTTACGCGGCAATAGCGATAAAAAACTTTAGGCACAGCATAGCTATTGCATTAGAAATAGCAGTGCCTGCTGAAACCATACAAAACACACAGCCTTATTCTTTGCTCCCCTTTTCATCTATTTGCATTAATATTGCTACATAGAATTCCGATTTCGTGTTTTCGTAACTGACGAACGGTGCAAATATCCAGAACGAACAGTAGAATTTGAGTGCTTGGGTCATTCTATATAATTCAGAAGAAAAACTACCATGGAGATTGACTGATTGATTTGGGTTTAAATTTATCGAGAGAAATAAATTGATTTCCGTAGTGTTAAATTAGCCGGAAGCATCGAATTGTAATTAGAAGTAAATAACTAGAGCAACTCAATCAATATAAATCAAGTCATGAAACTGAGATGCAACAAACCAATCATCGGCCACACCCTCCGGTTAACTAACCAGCACTTAAAAAACAAAAGGTACATTTCTCCGCTACTAATTGGTTCACTTCATTGAGGTTCGTCTGTTTTAGGTTTATCTTTTGGTTGCAGCTGGACAACTAAAAATGTTTCGCGATACCATAACAGAATGCGAGAGTCGAAGAACAAACGCTTTACACACAATAAATGTACAATTCTCACAACATAAACCCGCATCGCATTTTTACTCATTCTAAATGGACATGAAAATATTGCAGGACATAGAGACATGGAAAAATTCTTATGTTCACTTTATCGTATCCGCTACAACAATTGTCGTGTCCACTTCTTGTTGTTCGTGCTTTTTACTTTTATTTTTGCTCCTTTTCCTTTAGTTTCCAAAATCATGCTGCTCGTAAATGCATAGCATGAACTTTTGTTCGCCATTCGTTTTATTTTCAACGGGTTTTATTGTAGATAAAAATGTGAGCGCGTCTTTTTTCTATGACATAGAATGAACCATATAAAGAGCAGGAGAGTGAGATGAGAAAAATCCAGAAAAAAATGAAAGCGACAAAGTGGTGCACAGTGCTATCTAATACCATCGTGCATGAAAGAAAAATCGACCGTTACTACGGAAAACACGTTTCCTCATACACACACACAAACACAAAAATGATGAAAAATAGAATATTCAGAATAAAAATGAAGTTTTAAGAATAGTAAAATGTAAAAAAAAACCACATACAGTGTCTCTCTTTTGTGAGCTTGTTCATAAGTCTGACATAGATTCGAATTAATGAGAGCAAGACCATGTTCTTTCACAGTCCTTTTCAACAATAGAAAAAATACAATTGCATGAAAGTGAATAAACGGGCACAAACAAGTACTACATCCTGACAAAAGAATCGGCCAAATCAATGGCAAAAGACGAAAGCTTAAAAAGCACACACAGAGTGAGAAAGCATTGCAGAAACGTTGAGATCCAACACATACACACACAAGCAAGCGTTACAGTAGGTTGCAAAAAGAGCACTGTAAAGAGATGTAGAAGAGTTTGAAGGAAAATGTCCGAAGTCTTTTGAAGACAGCAGACACGAGAATAAATAATTATTATACAAGAACGATCTGTCGTTGTCTTGAGCGTTAACAAAAACAAATGAATGCTTCCAAAAAGCTAATACATTCTCGAAATTGAACATGAAAAATACAATCGAGTGTATTTGTGTATGTCCTGATCTAAAAAAAGGAAAAAGAGAAATAAACTAAAGTGTCACATCAAGTCACAACATTCTCATATATAAAAATGGAAAACATTTACATTTCTATGTTTATTTCTACTTTTTGGTTTGAATTAAGTGTGTGACTTTCCCCTTTTGATCCAATAAATTTCTTCTCTATTCGCTCGAGGCCGTCGCAGTGCGCAGACCGAAATAAATTAGACACAACCAGTTATGAATGGTGTGAAAAAAACAAACTCAAAATCCTGCAGTTGGACCATTTAAATCTTACAAACAACTTCATGCTTATGCTTAATAGGCCCAGTGTTCTAAATCCATTTTTGTTTAAATTTTGGATGCATATTCTTTCGAAAGGAGTAGAACTTAATCAGATTTATACAAAACAGATTTAATCTGTTTGAATTTTCCTCGTTGCCCAAATATCGCTATTAAATCATCTTTCAATTTATTTTATGATATGAAATACCAACGTTACTTGTAAGCCATTCTTAAACATGCTTATATTATTCAACTGCAAAATAGTTGGGAAAATCGCTTAATAAACAAAAACGTAATTATTTATTTTTTTCTCTACCCGTTTCTTTTTTATATTTTTTGATTGCAGTGTTAAGACGGAAATCTTGGATAAGGGTGCTAATTCATCACTACTCATTGCCAAGATAAATAAAATGGATACGGGCAATTATACGTGCTCCATCAATGCAACACATGAATATACAGTGTCAGTGCATGTTCTGAATGGTAAGCTAATTCGATAAAACGCTTTTGTATTTATTTGTTTATGACCATTTTGCATGCATATGTTGTCAACACATTGTTATGTTTTTTTTTTCTAAATGCCTACCTATACGTCGACACTCTCAGTCGTTACAATCGCATTGCGTTCACCGACGTTTAATTGTGGGAATAAAAATAAATTTGGCTTCATATTCATTTATCTACGCTAGATCCCGTATAGGAAACAACATTAACATCAATTGTTGTAGTTTTTATTTTGTAACAGTAAAAACAACAGTAGAAAGATGTATACAAAACAACACCCAAATGAATAAACACATGTGGTGACAAAAAATAACTTTTTATGAAGAACATAGAGAAAAAAGCGAATATAAGTTATGAATTCGTTGTCTTATTCATCCCTCTTGTTTGCACGCGCACGAATACGAAAATACTATGCGAAACGTGAACATTATCGTTCATCGTGTAGAGAGAGCATCCAAAATAACATAATAGCATTGTGCTGTCGTGCATACATTTTTAAGCGATTCTCACTATAGCAAATCTAAAAGAGTTATCATAATTCGTTATTCCGTGTTATGTTACACCATCTTCAATATTCAGGCAGCGAAAAACAATGCAAAAAAGTTTTAAAAAATTGCATACAATGCGAGATTTAATGAAATTTCACTAGTTCTTATTATGTTTCGACCTCTTTTTTGCTGCTTGTTTCCCATTGTCTAAGTTTTATAAGCGAAACTCAACATCACATGAAGTTCCAATTCTTTGAAATACAGGGTGTTACAGAAAAAAATCTTGTTTGCTTATTTTCATATTTATATAATCTTTTTGTTTATACTTTTCCGCACTCACCGAGTGTGTAAGGTAAAGTATTGGAATCGATCGAAAAACTAACACCTCCCAAAAAGAGAACACGAATCTACCATTTATTCGATATAGTAATGTTTGTGCGTGGATAATTGAGGGTTGCCAGGCATAGGTTCTGAGCAACTTTGGTTGATAGAGTAAATTTTCATATCTGAAGCTATGCCCATGAGGAAAGTTCAATTTTTTTCTCAAAATGTGTATGTGTACATAAACACTCAATACAAACAAATATGTTTTCGGAGGTTTTTGGGTACGAGAAAATCTAACCTGACGTTAGTTTTGCGGAAACGTATAATTTTCGGATTTTTCTATGGAAGTGGATCTTTGCATGCTTTTATGAAGTGTGACGTGAAACTTTGGATGTGTTATTTTTCATAAATTTCAACGAATATTTGTGGTATCTCCTATAAAAAGAATTTCGATTCTGGATATGAGGGGTAGGTACCTCTAATATGCATTGAAATTTCGAGAAACTTTCAGGATATTTTTTTTTTGTGAGTTAAATTACCTATACAAAGTTGCACATCATTACGATATCACATAGGCATGGCTCCCATTCAAAAGTTCACATTTTTAGTAATTTTTGTATGAGAAGCCAAAGGATGAACACCAGTTTCCAGTATACTTAGTTTCATTTAATATGTATTTAGTTTATTTCAATGTATTTTTTATGGCACTGTTAATGTATTCTTTACAACGGATTTCATCCATATAAAAATGTATTGCCAATACTTTTAATAGGAAAGAATCGACATGCACATTAAAAAAAATTCACACATATTCCTCTAGTAGCTTTTAGTACGCTCTGATTTTGTATAGTAAAAATTCGTAACCACTAAGTGCAGAATTTCAATACGTACAGACACACAGAACCGGAGCTAATGAGCTCCTGTGTATTAGTCATATAGTTCGTCAGAGCCATAGGATTTCATATTACTTCGCAGAATTTAAAATTAAAATTTTTATCCAAAAATCGAATCACTCCAATGAGAAAATGTGTGTCGAAAATTATTTATATCGTATAACTAACGTCAAATTCAGTTTTCTCGTGAATTCAAATTTACAGCAAAAGATATTTGGTGCGGAAAAGTTCATCTTACGGATGTAAGACATTTTATTATCATTTGTTGTAAAAAAGAGTTGGAAAAAACTTTAATTTTCACCGGCACAAGATGAGATTTTTCTTCATAAGCAATTGTTGTCACCGTGTTAAGTTAAAATGCACATTCGTGATTTTAGCATGTATTTCAAAACTTCTGTTGCATTGACATCAATTTTCACAGATCGGATTCCATAGCCAATTTGAGAGTTGACACAACCAGATTCTCTGCATAAGAATGAAACATCCATCTGTGTATATATAAACATTAGGGTGGATGAATTTTTCTCGATTTGGCTCTACAGCCCAGAGTAGTTGTATAAGCATGAGCTGATTCCAAAACAGCCATTTTTTGATGGGGTTATATGTCATATAGGGTGGCGACTTGAACGAGAGTGAAGAGAACTTTTTCAAAAAGAAATCGAAAAAAATGTGATTTTTAGAAATAACAATTTTGGTTGGTTTTTTACATTTCTACGCTCAAATTGATCTTATCTCATCAATTAAGACCATTTTAGTCTTTATAAACCTTCAAATGCCCAAATTATACAGATTTACTAATCCAGGTAACATCTTTTAAAAATTCTTGAAAACCAGCTAAATTAATAACTTTCACTAGTCAACCAATTTGAATTTTTAGTAGTGACCATACTCTTTTAAAGCCAATACGACTTCAGTAACGCGTATTAGAACAATTCACGATTCGTGTACACTCGGCACATCATCGCTACTTTACGGAATATCAGCCGTTGAGTTCACTCCGAACTGTCGTGCATCTAATGCATCAAAGAAAGTTCGCACAAAAGAGAATGAAAAATGTACATATGGCTACTTGATGTTTTTTTTACCATGTTGCAGTGAATTCTACTGCTGATATTCGCCTAAGCAGCGAAGATGTGCCGAGTGTACATGAATCGTGAATCCTGCTAATACGGGTTACTAAAATCATACTCAGTTAGATCCCAGCATATCGGAGTTTTTTTAAATGGAATTAAATTGAAAGAAAATGGTCAATATTGACCATGGCCTGGAAATGCCTATGTAATTTACATATAAACGAGTGAGACTCAAACACGTTCTTTTTTTTCCATCAAATATACCAGTGGCGCCACCAATTTTACATATAAGCGCATACAAAATTTTCAATATGGCTGCGCCCATGAGAGAGAAAATTTCGTCTCATTCATTTCCGCCCCATGATATTGACCAAAGACAGTATGAGATAAATCAACACTGAGGTCACATTACGGATGATATTTTTAATTCCAAAACTGCTTTGTAATGCTGAAGTCCATAGCGATCCAATGCCATAATAAACACTTGAAACGATCTCGTGGTATAAAAATGATGGTGGTGTATATTCCAAACTTCGACTAAAAAAAGACCATTTTCTTCATTTTTCTTCATATCCGATATTCTTTGGAATGGTGATTTTATTGACAAATTTACCCTTCTACCGTTAAAAGAAATCAATGTATATAAATTTAACGCCATACAGTTCAACTCCGTAATTACAATCAAGCTCTTTGTTTGTTACAGTACAAGGATAAAAAATCCAAAAGGCCACATTGAAACACTATCAGAAAACCTCTTTTAGATTTCAAATCATCACAAAACATTGCAAATCTTCAGGAATTTCTCCAAATATATGATCTAGGTAGATTTTGAGTCATTCAAGTGAAAATATAGGATGTCTCTAGAACAAACTTTCCATTTTTGACTCAATATTGACAATTTTCTTTCAACCGGTAAATACCGGTTTTTAAATTAAAAAAAACTTGGACGTGCAGACCCCAGAACGAAGGAAAACTCTGCAACTGACCCCCGCACAGAAATCAGCATGGCTCATTAATCTGTGGACACAGCCCTATCAAGCTATGATATCCGTTGCTATGGTCGTTACTCGAATTTTTTGACTATTGAAATTCTTTAAATTTTCTGGTTTTCAACGATGTTTAAAAGATGTTACCTGGATTAGTAAATCTGTATAATTTGGCCATTTGAAGGTTTATAAAGACTAAAATGGTCTTAATTGATGAAATAAGATCAATTTGAGCGTAGAAATGTAAAAATCCAACCAAAATTGTTATTACCAAAAATCACATTTTTTCGATATTTTTTGAAAAAGTTCTTTTCACTCTCGTTCAAGTCGCCACCCTATATGACATATAACCCCATCAAAAAATGGCTGTTTTGGAATCAGCTCATGCTTATACAACTACTCTGGGCTGTAGGCTTTGATACTTGAATTTTTTCGAAAAAGTCATCCACCCTAATAAACATATATTTCACGAGGTATTCCAGAATGCTATTTTCCAAACCAGATTCTCACAAAGATAATCCTGAATTAATAATAAAATGGTTCTTTCTCAAAAAAAATTGTCCGATTTAATTCCAGTCAAAATCTCTTATTTTCCATTCTAACCAGTTTCAAAGCAAGTGAAAAAAATTGAAGTAAAAAAGACGATCCATGTTGAAAATCTTGTGAACGCATCCAAATGCTTTTCATTTCACAAAAATGGCAATTTTTCTGTAAAGCTCGTGATGTCGCTGTGCTCTGTTAATTTTGTGTGCTTTTTCTCCTATAAAAGAAATAAGAATAAAGTTGTTTATGCTATTGTGTTTTAGTTGAGATTGTGTACTAAAATGAAACAACGCAACATTTACAATAATGCAATAACATCATGGATAAAATCGGAGATGAGCAAGGACAAAGTGAGCGAGAGAAAGCGATGAACATGACCAACTTTATTTCGGGGTGGCAATTCAAAATAAAATGCTTTTTTTATATACTTTGTTGTTCAACAAACCGCAAACACAACCGAATATATATTGAGCAGCAAAACAAACACACATCCACAGAAGAACACATATACAGATAGATAGAGAGAGAGAGAGAGAGAGAGAGAGAGAGAGAGAGAGAGAGAGAGA